TGCTTAATAAACTGTAAGCCAAGCTGTTGATAAAATATGTCTGTTGCCAGGAGGGTTCCTTGCAGACCAAATATAGTAAATATAGTTTCCACTGTAGATTTGGAGATGATCCAGAAATTAAGAATTATCTGCACAAATTATCCTAAATTTATTTCAGATATTTTCATCAAACCTGTTCTGTCTTACATAGGAATTACCCACTGATGATGATATAATCTGGTGGCAACTTATCTATTAATATCATATTTTTCCATTAATTTCTATTGATGTAGTAATTCTTAATTGAACTCAAACGCTTTGTTTCTACCACATTGACAGAATTTCTTTTATGTCATGGCTGTTGTACAACTTGCTGTTCCCAAATTTTGATGGTCCAGAATGTAGAGATTGGGTTTTTGATCATTGGAATTTCATTCAACAATAGAAAAAAAATACTTTTCTAATGTTGACTCAAATTACTCAAATTTTATCTGCAATCCACAAACATACTCTCAAGTGTTGTGTTAATGAAAGAGTATGCTGTTTTAAAATAATTTGAAGTGTTAATACCATGCTTGAGCTGACCTTCCATTAGTTTGATTTTTGCCTATGCATAAAAAGCAACTTAGATTTCACGCTGTCAGTAACAAAAATTGTAAGTACTTACTTATTAGATTGTACTTATTTGGAAGACATCTTGTCCTCTTTTCCTAGACCAGGATAATTTGGATTCCAGTTTGAAATTTTAACTGCCTGAATTGGGCCTTTCACAAAATAAGTTACTATGAGGGAAGGGTGCTTATATATAAACCAGCATAACCAGTTCCAAAACATTCAAATCTGATTTGATTTTTTATTTAATTTTTATCCCTCCTTTATTATTGTTTATAAAAAAACTCAAGGCAGCGAACCTACCTAATATTCCTTCTTCCTCCTGTTTTTCCCACAACAACCACCCTGTGAGGTGAGATGGACTGAGAGAGTTACTGGCCCAAAGTCACCCAGCCAACTTTCATGCCTGAGGTGGGACTGGAATTCTCTAGAGTTAAGATCTTTGAAGAAATCTCTACTTTGATTATCTTTAATCTCTCTTTGATTATCTTTAATCAAAACCTTCTGAAAAAGGTTTTAATCCAAATGAATTTCGCTGGTAGATTTAGAATCCATCTCTCCCAATTTGCAGTTTATGGACTGAGTTAGTAAAAAGAAATAGCAAAAGTTACCTGGATAATCTACAAAGAATTGCTTATGTTGTCTTTACTTAACTAGTGCTGTTTACAGCATAAGTCATTTTCCTTTCACCTTCTGTCTATAATATATACCAGTATAAATCTAAATTGTAATGCATCCATCTATTACATATTTTAGTATATGTGAATAAGATTCAGCTAGTTCTGTTCCCGTGATACATCTTGGAGCTCTTTCTTCCTGGTAGATAAAGAATCTATATATTAGAATCTGGATGATACCATTCAGTGATATAAGGTGGCTTAGAAGTGTGCATGATAATGATATGGGAAAATAGGAAAACAGCATAGATCAAATAAAGTACACCAATTAATAGAGAAATGGAACAAATACTTGGATTTTTCACAATTAGATGTTAATTTAATACTTTATCCACAGCAATAATAGAAAATGGTCATAACTGACTTCTCAAAGTTAATCATAGTTTATTTTTTACCCTGAAAAATTATAGGTGAGAATGTATCTCACCTGCAATTTTCTTTAAAAGTTTAAATACAGTCTGTGATTGAAGGTTGCACTATCTACGTAGTATCTGTAGAAAGAATGTGGATGGAATGCAGAGTTTCTCATAAGTATTTTATGCACCATCAAGCTGCAGCTGACATTCATTTCATGTTTCCAGCTGCCTTCAGTTTATAAACATGCTGAGGCTGGTGGCACCAAAAGATAATGATCTGGATTCAACTACCAACAAATCTGATTCTGGGAAGATGGCCTCACAGTCCAATCAATATTGCTTGTACCAGATCTTGGGTGGGGCAATATATACCCAACAAAGTCACCCATAGCTCAGGTACCATTTTGGCCAGGTCTAAACTCACCTCTGATCAATATCTGCCATTGCAAGTAGCAGATGCTGGCAAATGATCAGGTGAGTCCTAAGTGAAGTAAATGGCATTACCAGTATAAATTGATAAAAGAGAATTTAGCTCTCCAGAAATTACTTAGATGGTTACAGCTGTTTGAATTAAAGATAGTTAGATCTTTAATTAAATCACAACTGTGATTTTTAATTAAATCACAACTGTACATGTTTAAATCATAGTACATGATAAAGCTGAAGAATTACTGCATGTAATGTGTGAATATTAATTTTTAATGCTAAGTCCAATAAAGGTCTAACATATTTGTATTGCTATTCATATATTTTCTTAATAAAGGAGAATATTTGTAGCTCAGGATTGACATGAGGGGTCCTTGGTGTTCTCTGAGCTGGGTTGTTTTCTTGCAGACATTTCATTACCCAAACTAGGTAACATCATAAGTGCACTAATGATATTACCTAGTTTGGGTAATGAAACAACTGCAAGAAAGCAACCCAGCTCAGAGAGCACCAAGGACCCCTCATATATTTTCCTTCTTTAACCCCGAAGCTCCTCCATGATGTCAATAAATAGTTGCTGGGCAGATTGCTTTTTGCAGATAGCATCACAATAAAGGCACTATTTGTAGCAAGATGCAGATTTTTATAGAACATTTGACTTCTGGGTCTTGAAGCTCAGCTGTGCTATTACCCCAACTGTTTTTCATCTTATAATATTTTGTTATATTTAAGCTATAAAATATTAATTATTCTCTACCATAGCCTTAATCTTTGAGTACTGAGTGTTAAATACTGTATGACTTGTTAAGAAATGGTATCTATATGATAAACTGCCATAATAGTACCTACCTATAAAGTTCTATAGAACTACCATTAATTGGACATGTGGAATGAGAAATGTCAGAAATAAATCTGTGATCTATTATTCTTATTATGTTTAGTGTTTGTTTTGAATATGAAACAGCAAAATTATGCAGATATATTCAAAGAGAATGCAATTTGCATTCTTGCCTGTACTTTCAGGTCAGGCAAATTTAATTTTAGCTGCCAGAGAGGAAAAACTGTTAAGTAATGGGTGTTTCATTTCCTTGAAACAAACAATACATTTTAGCAATAACTACAACCAATCAACTCAGAAAGATTACTTGTTATAAATCCTTACTGAAACAAAATGTGCCTAGGTTTACAATCTGAAAAAATTACAAAAGAACGTACAAATGCCAGCACACAATTAGAATCAACATATTATTCTTATTTCACTTTATATTTATTACCTTGATATTATATAATGCCTGTTTCTTCATGATGATCTTACATTTTCCTGGTATGCAAAATCTTTAATCCTTTTAAGAAAACTTGGGGTTTTTCCAGCAAAGATAAAAGAAACTTGTATGCTGTCAAAACATCACTTTGATGGAATAAAAAAGCTCATTTTGTAACAATACAGTGCTGTTTCATAAATAATTTCATAGTTTGGAAATGCATTACTTGGAAGTATATTCCTGTACTTTACATTAAAATAATGGGACTAATAAGTTTGAAATATATCACTGCAAAATTTAAAAAAGCCTTTTTCTGAGTATACATCATCATCATCATCATAATAAAATAAATTAACCCAGTATCAAAGAAGAAAAAACAGCAGTCATCTACAACATACAGTGTAAAGACTGTAACAGCCACTATTTAGGACTAAAGCTAAAAAGCAAACAAAAAGACCAGAACATCACCAGCAGTCAACATCCAGGTCAGCAGGAATTAACACCAAGAGGAATACCAGACAAAACAATCAAGCATTAAACAATACCCTAATCAATTACCAATTCAGGCATAATTACTGTTTTAATTATTTTAATTGGTTTTAATGGTATATTTTGTTATACTCCCAAAGTCACTTGGTGTGAGATGGGCAGCCATATAAATTTCATAAACAAACAAAAATAATAAATTATATCCATGGTTTATTTCCAGCATAAAGAAGCATAGATGACTTAGTGCTTGTACCTGTTTGGGCATGGTATTTTATGCAGTGCTACAGAATATCTACCTACTGAATTTTCCTATATTTTAGATCATGACATTTACACATGATGTAGATGTTTGTAAATTGGTGTCATCAGAATGTTGTATTCATATTTCCTTTTTAGTTTGTTGCTGATGACTATTGCTACTATTACTGTTATGACAGGTTCATGATGTTGAATAGCCATTACAATAATGGCTTTCTTATTATTTCAATGTACTATCTGTCAGACATGCATCATTATTTTGGAGTCGGCAAGCATTTCAGGTGAAAATTGTTTTGCTAACCAGTATTTCAGTTGATTTTGAAAATTGTCCCTTAAAACAGGCAGTATGGTATCAGCTGGGACTTCCTGTTGAGCAGAGAAAACGAAGGTAGCAAAACACGCTAAACCTTGTTCCCTGTTTATCTGACAATATCAAACTCAGTCCAGATTTAATTTCATTGAATCACGATTGTGTATGATAAATTTTATCAAAATGAACCTAATTTGATTGAGATCTTATCCAGTGAAGATTTTTATATTATGATCATCACAGATAAATTGCTAAAAAGGCTTCATTCACGGCAACTAAAAATTATTGGAGTTTTAATTCTACACATCTGGAAGATATGTACCATATTGATGAGGGTAATGTAATAATGTATGTAGCAGTATGATAGTTTTGATCAAATTAACTATTTTACGCCCCTTGTTTCTTTTAATAATTAGTTCTCAGGTTAATGTTTCACATCACTTTTGCCAGCTAAATAATCTGTACTTTCACATTTTAACACCTGTCATTATTCCTTGTGAGAAAAAATTATAGAAAGCATATAATTAAAAGCATAATGCTTGGTGTTTTAATAAATGTATTCTTGAGGATGAGATTTTATTTGAAAGCATGATAAATTTTGTTACTGACTTTTTCCCTTGTTTTTTTAAAGGTATATAAAAAGAAAACTGAAGCTGCTAAGAAAGAGTATCTGAAGCAGTTAGCTGCGTATAGAGCAAGCCTTGTATCAAAGGTAACATGGGTTTCAGGGGTCATAGAATTTTGCAGGCTGAAACTATGAGCAGGACTAGAAATAAAAAAAATAGTCACTACAAAGTTGGCTTCTCCAACTTGGTGTGGTACAGTGTTGGACTTCAAATATCAGAATTCCAGTCTAGTGACTGTTACAATTGCCAAGCAGCAGTTTACCGGCTGACAGTTTTGACATATTTTCCTAACATATCTGTAGCATATTTTATTTTGTTTGGATTACTTTAAAAATGGCCATGTTCATTTAAAAATGCTGATAGAAATATATGCTGGTATAATATTGGAAGATGTGCCAGAGCATTCTCAAACCTTTTTCCCATCCTGAAATGTGCCACTGGCAAATGAACAGTGCCACTGAAATTAATCTTGAATGCTTTATTTGAATCTTGAATACTTTATTGACCAAGGGTGATTAGACACACAAGTAATTTGTCATGGTGCAGAAGCGCTCAGTGTAAATGCAAAGCAACAGAATCATCATCATCATCATTGTTGTACGAAAGTGGTTTGTTTAATATGTAGGAATGATTAAATAAAATATCAATTCACAAAGCATTCTAGATAATACTATTCAGATTATGAAATTATTTAAAATACTGATTAAACTTTTCCATTGTTCTAAGTTGCAACTTTTATTAGTTTTGCATGTAGTTTAACAAATTGTACAGCATTGGTGAGCTGCAACTTTGTTTCTGAAAAACAAGCACTTTTCGTTACTAATCCATGACTTTTGCTGTAATTATTGTTGAGCTAACTAGATTTCTCACTTCATCTGTTGAAGAAATATTCATAAATACTTTGTTTCCAGTTCTAACAGAATACAACATAAAAATCTATCCCAAGAAATGTAAAAGATAGGAAACCCGTATCCACTTCAATGTAGATCAAAATATAGAAAGATTTCTTTATTTATGTGTTTATTTATTTAATTTTTTTGCTACCCATCTCCCTATGAGACAACTTTTACAGTGAGTGATAATTCTCCAGACTTTCAAGCAGAATTTTCTTCAAATGCCAGGAATTCAATTTGGGGCCTCCAACATGGAAACCAGGCATTGTACTATTGAGTTATGATCCGTTTCAGTATGTCAGATACATGGTAACAAATAATTTATAATCTTTCAGCCTCTGAAGAATAACATCGTTTTAAAAGAAATGCTTACCTTCAAGTGATCACAGGTTTCTGAGACTCATGCATAAAGAGAATGTTTTGTATTCATATTTGGTTCAAGGATTTCTACATTGCATTCAAGAGGGCTGAATAATAGTTTGAATTCAAAAGGTTCGCTTGAGTTCTGATTACACAGGAGGGTTAATTAATGTTATGCATTTATCAGATCCAGCTAAGATCTGACTGCCAGGGCTTCATGTTTATTCTTCTAAATATATGTAATTCTTATATCCTGTAACATAGAATAGCACGTACATTTTTACAATTTATAAAGATTAGATTACTTTCAAAAAATCACACAGAAAAATAAACTTCTCTTACTCAGAGGTTTAAAATATATTAACTTCTGAATTAATATACGTACTTAAACTTTTATTCAGGTTGCTAAATCCTAAAAATATAGTTTTCATATTTTTGTTTAACTTTGTAATAGTTTAGTGGCTTTCCTTGTGCCCTTTGTGTCTTCACTCTTTAGCATACATTCTTAAGATTCTTACCCTTAGAGCAGTGGTTCTCAACCTATGGGTCGCGACCCCATTTGGGGTCGATCGACCATTTCACAGGGGTCGCCAAGCAAGGCTGTCCACCATTTTTTTCCCCTTTTCCGGCGGGTGCCTTACCTCCCTTGAGCTGGGCCAGCTGGTGGTCGGCCTGCTCCGTCTCTGCTGCTTGCCAGCTACGCCTCGGCCCGCGCAGGGGGTGGAACCACGCATGTGCGGCACTCCCGGGCAGGGAAAGTCCTCGACTTACGACCGGTTGGGTAGTCCTTGACTTACGACCGGTTTAGTCCTCGACTTACGACCGGTTTAGTCCTTGACTTACGACCGGTTGGGGGTCGCAGCATTAAAAAGGTTGAGAACCACTGCCTTAGAAAAACTATAAACATTATGAACTGTGTGGAAATTATACACACATCCACACAGAGACATCCCTCCCCCTTTTCAAATTATTGCCAGCAGTATTTACAGACTCCAAAGTTTCACCAGAATTTTTTTTTTAATTTTATTTATTTCTTTTTCACTATACAACAAAAATAAAAATAAAAAAATACACACATACACACACACACAAACACACACACATATATATATATACGGCAGGATCAGCTGGGGCCGATCACGTGCTCCAGGAGCATGTATACATACCACACTGCAGAAATGAAAGACTTACTCTTACCTATGCACTGAGAATTGAATTCCCTTTATCATTTCCATTTAATTTTGTGCAGTTTACTGATAAAATATATTTTTGTTGCTATCATTATTAAAAGCTTGATGGAGGCAAATGAAGTTATCATTTTTTCCTCTGTACATTATTACAGATAATGAAGCAATGTCTGTAATGTGCATGTAGGCTGATTGGTGGTGATGGTGCATATATTAGAAAGAATACAAATGGCTCTCACAGGCTCCAGTGACCCCAGAAAGCCTAGAGTAACATTAAACTTACTTTGATTTGAAAACCGATATCAAGGTCATAGAATAAGGACATATATGAATCTTCCAATGTTTGTTTTGACATAGTACCACTTGCTTTCAAAGGAAGATTTTATCATTTTTTTCCTGTCATATTTCAATAGTTATTCCTTCAACTTCTCCTTAAAATATGAATTATTATTCAGGTACATATCTTCTGGCAAGCCCTTGGAGTTAATACTGTATTCTTTACTACATTTATGTGAGCACATCAAGTTTATAATACAGGTATTAGAAAATAACAATGCAGAAAACTGAGAAAAATAGTTATAGAAGCTCTTTTTAATGTTATGTGAAAGCTATTATTAAACTGATTATTCCAATCCCTGGCCCCTTCTCAAATGTTAAAATATTATAACTGTACATCACACATATATTTCATGCATTGGAGGATGATATAGAATGCTTCAGTATCTATCTTACAACTTACAAATTCAAGCAAGCCTCTTATAAAATAATATAACTAACATTATATAAATACATATAATATATATTAATAATATATAAAATAATAACTTCTATGCTGGTATATAAGGAGAAAAAGTGGGGAAAAGGAGGTTCTGAATCTTACAGTCCATTTCCTACCTGGAACAACTAGAGTGGTAGGAAACATAACATACAGAGGTCTGAACAGATTCAGTTTTTAAAATTTGGTACAGATTTCTTCATATCTTATCAATTACACAGATGTTTATAATAAATTGCCTCTGAAATGTAGCAAATAGGACATGGGGAAAATAAAACTACAAAATGCTGCTATTTAGTGAATGTCACAAGCAATCTGTAAATAGATAATGATTATTATATAAAGCAGCAGCCCCAACCTTTTGGGCACCAGGCACTGGTTCCATGGAGAAAGATTTTTCCACAGAGCGGAGGGGACATGGGTTTGTGTGCTGCCTGCATCCCATGGATGGGGCTTCACTTGTTTGTTTGGCCCGGTTGCTGGCATGCCATGGCCCAGTGCTAGTCCGTGGACCAGGGGTTGGGGACCCCAGATTTATATGACTATATTTAGTTAATGTTAACTGTGTTTTTTGAAATACCTTGGTCAGTCTTTGGTGGAAGTGTTTCCCAAGGCATTTAATCTGCTCATCTCTCACTTGTTCAACACTTCTCACTGTAGTAAACAATATGAGAAATCCTTATTAAAATTACTCAAGGAACAAGAGAAACAAAGAACAAAATCATGAGCAAATAGAGAGATATTCTATGTTTGAATCAAGCTGCAACATTTATCAAAAAGATCTGTAGGGACTGGAACGAAAGTACATTTTGCATAATCAATAGACAGCAGAGAAATGGGAATTGAAGCAATTGTTTCTTTTATCAGGATAAGAAATTAAAAGCAAAATCAATGCCAAATGTCTAGTTTGTAACTTGGGTCATCTTTGGTTTTTATGTTCAAAAGTATCTATCTTTTGACAAAATGGCATCACTAATGGAGCCCTACCCATAGTAATATGTCATCTTCATATTCCCCAAATCTGAAAATGATGTCAAGTAAATACAATGAGGAAGGAAGAGAAATGAAAATAAGTTGCATTGTGCAAACATAAGTTTAGATATCGCCTGGGATTGGATATGTTTTCCTGTTCTAGATTAAGTTTTAATGAATTGCATATTCATTTATTGTATTTCTCTTGTACAAAATGTGACAGTTCATTTTTTAAAAATTATAAAGTATAGTCTTAAACGTTAAAAAAATAATACAGTGATGCATATAGCCTTTACAAAAACTACTCTGTTCTGCATAGATAACAGTAAAACATCAGAGACTTAATCAGCTTTGTCTGAGTCAATTTTGTCAGGGGTTGTGGGAGGGCAAGTTAAAAACAAGTACAGACTATTTGGGTCTTGACTCTCAGTATAACTGCGCATCTCAGACTTCAAATAATTTGTGGTGTGTTTTTTTTTAAACAGAGCTACAATGAGCCCGTGGATGTTAAAGTATCCCAGCAACCTCAGATGATGAGCCCAAAGCAGCCAGTATTCCATGCATCCACACAGCCTCATTCGGCAATGTACTTAGGTTCCCATTACCATCAACAAACAGGAATGAATTCTCATATAACAGCCATACATCCCAATATTCCAAGGAATATAGCACCTAAGCCTAACAACCAAATGCCAGTGACTGTTTCAATAGCCAACCTGGCTGTAACTCCTCCACCAACCCTTCAGATGAGTCCTCCAATTCATCCACATCTCAGTATACAACATCAGACACTTACAATGCAGCAATCGATTGGAAATCAGCTGCCAATGCAAGTGCAGTCTGCTATACATTCACCAACAATGCAACAAGTAAGTCCTTACCAATTTTTAAGCTGTTACCACCCAATATATGTCATGAGTAGCTTCTTTTTTTTTTACTTAATCAGCCAGGGCTTATGTAAATTAAGGAAACGTGGCGCACGAGCACTCCGTTGACCTTTGTTAAATGATACCTGCATCCTCAAATAAAGTATTAAATATAAGAAAAGAATTAATTCTGATCTATAACTTAAGTGTACGGACTATTCCACAATGACCTTAATTGTTGAGAGTATAGGTTTGCTTGCAAGAAAACATTACAACATGACATCATTTGAGAAACATCAGTGAGAGGGAATTTATTGGGAATGTTCATATGGTGATGATTGTCAATTCACAAGTTATAATCCTTGGAGAACATTTTTTTCATAGTGAAAGAACAACTAGATCCTCAGCTCCTTAATCATATAAAACATTCCAGTTTTAATACATTGTGTGGAAACTGGCATAGCCATAACATAATTCTGTTGATTATATCTCAATTTAACCTACTTTGTGGTTACCCTGAATACATGGTATTTCTGAACCTAAATTTCAGTTGGACATTATGATTTAAACCTACAACCTTCAGCACATTTTCCTCTGCTTTAGAACATATACCACAACTATATTCAATTTCCGTGTGATGTCTTCAAGCTAAGAAGTGGATAATAGCATAGAAGTAGGAATATTATAGAAGTTCCTGAGCTTTCACTATATTGTAATGAAGAACAGTGGGTTGCACTATTAGTTCTGTTAGAATATGGCATTATTTAATTTGATAGAGTACAATAGGAGTGCCATCCATTTATATCATAGCCTGAAAATAAGTTTTTACATGTGTTGTCTCCTGCTTTGTAAGTCTGATCCTTGTACTATGTGTTATTCATATGTTTTAAATTAGCACATACCAAAATTACCTAACTTTTTTCATAAGCGCAAAGATTTAGATTTCCCCCCAGTGTGCTTTAACTTATATATGGTTAAAATGAATCCATTGTGTTGCCTTTTCACCTAGAGAGTTTGCTCTACTGAAGTTTCTCATTGGTCGTATTTTCTTCTAAATTCATTAGCAAAAAAAAAAAATCATATCAGTTCCTTATAATATTCATAAACAAAAACTATTATGCATTTTCTTTGTAGTTATCATAAGTTTAAGTATATCTTATACATTTTATTTTCAAGTAAATATTTGATGAGTCCTAAGAAATAGATTGCATAAATATGGATGTCTCTATTTGCACTGCTAATGACTCTTTATAACTTAACCATGAAACGTCAATACAGTTTTCATTAAAACAATAAAAATATTCTGTGGTTCAAAAACTACCTCATTTTGATTTGTAGTATATTTCTTGCATTGCAATATCCACAGGCTAACTTACTTCTAATAAAATAACAGAGGTGGAAGGGACCTTGGAGGTCTTCTAGTCCACTCTCCATACTTTGTTTTTTAAGCAATATACAAATATTTTGGGATTACTTTCCTTCCTAAAATATTGATGTTCTGGCTAGGAGCCAGCTTATTTTCTTACCTGTCTCCCTAAGTCAAACTGCCTATTTTCAACATTGGATTTGTACAATTGAGATATTCTAATATGTCATGTGTATATTTGTAATCATAAAAAGCTAATTAAAACAGTCTGTCTCTTCCAAACAACTTTGAGTAGAACTTCCATAATTCCTAGTAAGGTTTAGCAATGCAAATTAGAAAATGTTGTGGCTTCATGTATGAAGACATGTCAAGAGAATGATCATTTCCCTGTGATTGGGATATAGTCAATTGTAGCCACATCATATGTAACCTGTTGTAATTTCCTAATAAGACTAGGAAATCAAGGTATTGAGCTTGGGCAGAAACTGTGTGACTGAGTGCAGTAATAGAGTTGAGCCAGAGGAAAGTGAAAGAAGCAGTATAACCAGTGGTGGGATTCAAATATGTGAACAACCGGTTCTCTGTGTGGATGCCGCTTCCAGAAGTCCATTCTGGGCCTAGGCAACAAAAGATTAGCTATCGGTTCTGTCGGTGCGAACCGGCTGAATCCCACCACTGAGTATAACTCATTAATAACCAAGATAAGTGCTTGCTTAATTCTGCACTATATACTGAACCATTATATGAAAATATGAAATCATATAGAGCTATATATTCCAGGCACCTAAGGGAAAGAGGCATGTAAACACTATCCAGAAACTCCTTGCCAATTTTCTGGTAGAACCACTGGCAGTGGGGACAGGAAATAACAAGTAATAATAGTGGAAAGATCATTGTCTAAGCATAATGCTAGCTTCTTCATCTTTCATATTGGACAGACAGGGAAGAAAGTCTTTATTTTCAGATTTTTGTCAACTTGACAAAGACAACATGTGTTGTGCAATAGGGAAGAAGAATGGTTTTGCATATTGAGTAATTCCTGATAACATATAAATGTTTCAAAAGTGGGATTTTTGTTTTAATCATAGTGGTATCAAGATTCTTTGCTAATGTAATTGATGTGATATTGAGATAAACATTGAGAAGCACTGTTCTAACATTAGTGGAGAACATGATGTTCTCTATAATCTATAATCGCTGAGTGATAGACAGATACCTACACAAACATACACACAAACAGACAAACACACAAACATGAATTTTATTATGGCTCAACTATGGCAAGGACTGCTTATATTATCTAATTCCTAGGAGAACTGGGCATGGATTTTAAATATATTCATTTCTACTCTTTTATAACATTTTTTCTTTAGCCCTATGATTATGCACTAGCTTTTAAAGAAAATATTGGCTTGTTTTGTCTGCAGTTTTAAAATTCAGTAAATATTTGGTTGCATTTCATTACTTTTAGCCACTTCCATTATTCGCTCCCCCTCACATTGTTTTTCTGAATGTGATTTAGGAGAAGGAGAAAAATCATTAATATCTGTCAACTGTCCTTATAACCTTAAGGGGGAATCTTTGTGTGATATCACACAGACAGATTTTCAATTTCCTTGTGTAATAAATAGATGCTTTAGAATTTGGATGTAATTTAAGAGTTTTAAAAAAACATCACATTGAGATTGATGAATAAATCAGTTGAGAAGACAAAACATAGATGCCTGTTGAAAATACCTCTCCAGACAGGCAGGAAATGAAATTAGTTCCCGGTAAAGTGGGAAGATGAGGGTCACAGTTTAGGTTTTGCTGGAGGCTTTTTTGTACTTGCTACAGGCCCACACAAAACCCCCAAGTAGGGATACAGAAATCTAATTAAAGAACAAATGTTCCATCTGACGTCAAATTAATCTTTATCAAGTGTCCTATTTTTATTTCAACTGGGAGCTAGAAAATGAACCTTAAAATTCAAGGCATGCCACAAAATGGTTGTTGATCTTATCTTGAGTGGCACATTGCATAACATTTACCACTGTCTTAGACCTCTCAGGGGCTGCTTTTGAGAATAAGTAAAATAACCATTTGAAACCCTACTTTCTCAGTTTGTATTCCTGATATTTTTCCATTAGCTTTGTGATGTAATTTTAATAAGCATTATTATAACAACAAAAATTGTCAAATTAAATCTAACAAACTGAAATATTAGGATGTTCTTTCATTATCCCACTGTTTTGCAATTAACGGCAGAAAAGAAAAGTCTTCATTAATAAGGAAATCTGCTTAGATAAAAATTCAGATTACAGCTTATTCTTTCCCGAGCAGAAGCAGAAAAGTAGATTATTAATTAAATAACATACTTTGCTTATTGTTCAAAATATAACAAAATATAAAAGTAAGACAATAACCGAAAGTAAAGAAGAACAAAAATACAAAGTGAAGAAATCTTCTAATCCAAGATGGTTGGTTGGTTGGTTGGTTAATAGGTTGTTGTTCGTCCATTGATTTCGATGAAGACCTTGACATGTTATGGATTATGGACCATCAACGGTGTGTCCGTAGATGGCTGATAAGACCGATGTTAGCACGGAATGTTCTGCCACATACTGAACAGAGAAATAGTGTCCACATTTCTCTGTATGGTTAGTAGGTAAGTAGGTAGGTAGGTAGACAGACAGACAGACACACAGACAGACAGACAAGATGAGACAAAACAAGACAGATATAGATTTCAAACCAGACATTTCAAACACAGTCATGCAGTTGTTTTCTGCAGGAGCTAGAATAAAAGAAATGAACAGATCCCACCCTCATTGCATAATAATAATAATAATAATAATAATAATAATAATAATAATAATAATAATAATAATAATAATAATAATAATAATAATAATAATAATAATAAAAAAGTTGGAAAGGACCTTGGAGGTCATCGAGTCCAACCCCCTGCTCAGGCAGGAAACCCTACACCATTTCAGACAGATGGCTGTCCAGTATAGAAGTTGGCAACTCAAAGGTTGTAGATCACAATTTTTAAGGATCCCAAATCTTTTTAAAAATATAATCAGAGTTGGAAAGCAAACTATCTATTTTAGGATTACTTAGGGCAGACATGTCAAACTCTCGACATCACATGACATTGCACAACGTATCAGAGTTTTTTCGCCATTGCCGGCAATGAGGTGGGCGTGGTTTCCCGATGACGCATCCGGCCTGTGGGCCGGCAGTTTGACACCCCTGACTTAGGGAGAGTAAGTAATACTGTTTAGCCTTTGGAAATAAAAAGATCCTTTTTAAAAGCTGAGTTTTCTTACCCCACCTCCATGAAATGTCATTGTATCAGCCCTTTCCTCCATCCATCTAAAAGTGGATGAAAATGCATTTTATTATTTTTCCTCTTATTATTTTATTTATTTATAGGGTGTTTTTCTATTTAAGTAAGCTGCCTTGAGTCGCCATGTGTGAGTAGGCGGCAATACAATTTTCCTAAATAAATAAATAATTATTAAAACATAATGATGATATCTAATTTTGTAATGAATCATCTACAATCATCTACACCCCAACGATGCCCTTGACGTGATGGCCCGCTGCCTGGAGGCCGTACGGGTCTGGATGGGGAGGAACAGACTCAGGC